ACACAAAAAAATAATCTAACTCTTAAGGTGTTAGTGATTAAAGTCGAATTTCGAACATTGGGAGAACACACGTATAGATCTATATAAAAGTAGAATTAGTAAGAATTGTTTAAATCCATTCAACAAACTTTCAAAATTCGCGATTTGTGTTGTAATATTTGTAGGTACTAGAATTACTGCAATAAATAAATAATAATAATCAGTGTAATATGTATGTATGTACAAAGCACGCAAATCTCGTTCTTTCTTGATGACTTATATGGTGACGAAGTAGATATAGTATAAGGCAGCCCAAGCAATATTACATTTTGGTATCTTTGTATATTTAATAGGATTAGTCCCATACCCGATCCTATAGATCGAATGGTAAACAGTCGACGTCGCCCATAACACGTCATTACGGATCCTCCCGATCCATTATCGGTGCTTTTAGGTACCACAAGCACCGGTCACCGTCCTCGTCGAACCCGTCGCTTGCGACGAAGGGCTCGACGAGCGAACTAACATATAGATACAGCCCACTGAGTTTCTCGCCGGATTTTCTCAGTGGGTCGCGTTTCCCATCCGTTGGTAGATTCTGTGAAGCACTGCTCTTACTAGGGTTAGTGTTACTATCACTCCGGTTGAGCCCCGTGAGCTCACCTACTAGTTAAGGTTACGCTGAAATAGCCTCTCAAGGCTATCAGCTTAGGTAGGAAAAAAAAAGGATTGGTTCTGATCGAACGAAAGTATCTTATAAGAACTAACGTGGTGATAATAAGTTGGTTCAAAAAAAAATTATATAATCTTACTTGCTAATCTCTAATATCGCTTGTAGCCTAGCACGCTATTCCAGCTTCTCATGGGCAGGTAGGTGAGCTCACGGGCTCATCCGAAGAGAATTTGCTAACTCTGGCCCTAGCAAGAGCAGTGCTTCGAAGAATCTACTATCGGATCGGGTTCTCGAGAAAATCTGGCGAAAACCTTAGTGGGTTGTTCTATTGGCTAGTTCGCAAGTCGAAATCATTGTCGCATTCGACGGGTTTGACGTGGACGATGACCGATGCTTAAAGAGCCTAAAAGCATCAACCAAATTAACTGTAATTTGGTACATTCAAAAGTACCTACTTTAGTTTATCCTTAAACTGCACACTACTTCTTAGTCAAATTATTAGTTCCTTTGGCGGAAGCCTTAACCGTTCTCCAACTGCTATATTAAAAATTGCTAAAAACTCTTCATGTTTCAAAAGGCATAGGGATGCTAAGATGAATAATAACGAAGGAAGCCGTTAGACGGCATATGGTAACCACTAATAGTGCCCAAAAACCGCAATTTGAAGCCGACCATGCTCGCGCGCGACCGCACTCAAAGTGCCAATTACTAATTACCAGCCATTATTGTCAGGTTAAAAAAATACCCCACAAAAGAGTTTTTGTTACACTTCTGGATCGCGTGCTACATACTTTTTTTTGTATTATTAGAGATTTTTTATTCAATTCTCAAAAGGCTTGTGGTAAAGTAAAATGGACTACATATCCAAATTTTTTTTTTGTATTGCCCTTGCTGACGAGCACACGGCAGACCTGATGGTGAGTGGTTACCGTCGCTTATGGACGTCAGCAATTCCAGGGGCAGAGTCAAGTCATTGGCTACGAATACATGCTAAATCTTCTCAAAGCGCTTAAACAATCATTACTCTATTTTAGAATTGCAGAAGTTATGCCAAATTCGTTGGTTCAATAAAAGTAAGATAGTTCAAAATGGGCAATAACATATAGCAAAACAATGAATGCATCAAACTATTAATCTATGAAATATTCATTAAATACTAACTAATTAACTTATCCGTTGAATACAAAATAGTTGACCAACAAACGAAAATACAGCAAGCAAATCAAACATAACTGTCTACATTCAATAAAGAACAATCTACAATTATTTTAGCGAATCATCTACCGAAGCAAAACCGGTAAAAACACCGTCCAACAACTTGATCAACACAATTTAAGCCCTTTTAGCTTTATTTACCCTTTTAGTATGCAAATATTGACAGACTGGGGGGGAAGAGTCAAAGGAAACCGCCTTCTTTGATCCTTCCGTGACACCGCACCTGTGCCACTGAGGTTGATTTATTACCCCAAACGTATAGTCCCATCGGAGATAACGACAAAAACTACTAATGAATGAAGTGAACGCATCCGTCTGTCTGTTTGTAGGGCTTTTCCTTTTGTGCTGTACTGCGGCGGGTCTGTTTGTCACTCGGATCGGTACTGAAGTGTTCTTGTTTTTTATAATTACTAAGGTTTTTTATTAAAGATTCAATTCTGGATTCACCTATCTAGATACCACATTAATATGCGCTTAATTCGTACATTCATTGCAGAGTAATAGTACAGCTCCAAAAATCATTATCAATCTGCTCATTGCATTTATTTTTTATTTATTTTATTGCTTGGATGGGTGGACGAGCTCACAGCCCATCTGGTGTTAAGTGGTTACCGGAGTCCGTAGACATCTACAACGTAAATGCGCCACCCACCTTGAGATATAAGATCTCAGTATAGTTACAACGGCTGCCCCACCCTTCAAACCGAAACGCATTACTGCTTCACGGCAGAAATAGGCAGGGTGGTGATACCTACCCGTGCGGACTCACAAGAGGTCCTACCACCAGTAATAAATAGACCAGTAATAAATGTTTGATAGAAAGAAACATAGAAAACGAAACAGAAGTTTTGAACCCTGGCATAAATATGTATATCTACATAGCCGCATCAGTCCATCCGAGTACAATAGGCTAGAGCTATTTCAAATTACATGATAGAAAGCTGAGGAAATTTGATTTCAATAATGGAACTCGTTTCAATTTATCCATCTTACAAGAGCTGCTTGCGACGAAGGGCTCGACGAGCGAATTAACCCACAGATACAGCCCACTGAGTTTCTCGCCGAATCTTCTCAGTGGGTCGCGTTTCCGATCCGGTGGTAGATTCTGCGAAGCACTGCTCTTCCTAGGGCCAGTGCTCGCCAACTCTCCGGTTTGAGCCCCGTGAGCCCATCTACACGTTAGGGTGAAGCTGAAATAACCTCTCAAGGCTATTAGCATAGGTAAGAAAAAAAAGCTCTCTGAATCTTTCTCCCTGGTGTCCACTCTAGATACTTTGCTCATGTTAACAAGAAGCAGAGTGTTTGTGAAATTTGGCGCAGGTCAGTTCAAGGACAACAGGTACTGTGGAAGTGCCCTATGCATTGGACTGCAACGCTTTAGGCGACCGTCTCTGGTGCAAACCACGCAGCTGCGAAGCACAATACAAAAGGATCCACTGTAAGGTTTGGGGTAAAAAAGAAAGATAAAAAAGAAATTGAGAATTTATACGTTTATCCTTCATAATGGTAACCCAAAACTGCCACTTGAAATCCAGAATATGTGATATTCAAAACAGATTTTCGCAAACAAAACAGACAAACAAAACTGACACCATTACATTCCCAAGCTAACGGGCACATTAGGCATAACAGCCGGAACACAGGGCGCATTATTCAATTGATATTTTCGGGGGTCCAGCCACTTAAATCGAATTGTTTGGCTCGGGTCCGGCAAATATTTTCAAAATAGGGGCCCTAGTGGCCATTGTCAAATTGACCGGATGATTGTGAAGGGGCTGAATGAATGAGACTCGACTATTACCTATTGCGTAATATACCCTGGGACTATTCAGTACAATGGAATTATAGTACGTATTTTTGTTTTGATGTTTTAATGGTGCTCTTCGCAATAAGTTTAATATCTATTTAAAACGAAAACTTTTTTTTACATAGGTCTATTTCCGCCTAGAAGCAGTAATGCGTTTCGGTTCGAAGGGTGGGGTAGCCGTTGTAACTATATTGAGACCTTAGAACTTATATCTCAAGGTGGGTGGCGCATTTACGTTGTAGATGTCTATGGGCTCCAGTAACCACTTAACACCAGGTGAGCTGTGAGCTCGTCCATCCTTCAAAGCAATAAAAAAAAAAAGAAAAAAAAAAGGCATCTTGACATTGTGGTATTTTCTTTTCTTCGCGATTCTTCGCAAAATAATTAAAATTACTTTTACAGTTTAATCTTTTGTTTTTTATTGTCATTATATTTATAATTTCAGACGTTTCGAATACTTTTCAGCTCTGCTTCTTGTTAACATGAGCAAAGTATCTAGAGTGGACACCAGGGAGAAAGATTCAGAGAGCTTTTTTTTCTTACCTATGCTAATAGCCTTGAGAAGTTATTTCAGCTTCACCCTAACGTGTAGATGGGCTCACGGGGCTCAAACCGGAGAGTTGGCGAGCACTGGCCCTAGGAAGAGCAGTGCTTCGCAGAATCTACCACCGGATCGGAAACGCGACCCACTGAGAAGATCCGGCGAGAAACTAAGTGGGCTGTGTCTGTGGGTTAATTCGCTCGTCGAGCCCTTCATCGCAAGCAGTTCTTGTAAAATGGACAAATAGAAACGCGTTCCATTATTGAAATCAAATTTCCTCAGCTTTCTATCATGTAATTTGAAATAGCTCTAGCCTATTGTACTCGGATGGACTGATGCGGCTATCATTCCGATAGAGGCACCCGTCACGTGCGGACGTGCTCATCGTCCACTCGATCGCCCGGTCTTTGTTCGCCCGGCTTTTGTTAGCCCGGCCATTGTTCGCGCGGCTTGTGTTCGTGATACATCTGCCGACCAAGTGTGTTTCCTGGAAGCTTTTATTTGTTTTGTTTTAGTTATTTTTGTGTTCGTGGAACATTTGCCGACAAAGTGTTTTCCTGCAAGTATTTATTTGTTTTGTTTCTTTTTGTAATTTCGTTTTGTTGTGCTTTTTCTTTGTCCTGTAGTAATCGCGCCGCATTGCCACCTGTGTTCAATAGAACCGCTCAGGTCCGAGAAGTTGGGGCCTCGCCGCAAGGCGAGTGTTTTCAAGACCCGGGGCCGCCCCACCTGGGTACTCAGCGATCATGGACGCTGTATTCGCGGAATTCCTCCGACTTCGCCACCCACAGNTAGAACCCCGCGAGCAAGGCCCCGAAGGGACTGGCTCCCGAGGCGATCTCTCGGATCACTCCGGAGATCACCTCGGACAGTTTCTCCCACAGGGAGAGGAGCCAGGCAGCGAAGCCGGCAGGCTGCGTGTCCTGTCGGCCGCTGCGCCGCTCTCTCTGCGGGCGGGGTGGTAATGGGGGCTGTATGCCTGAAGTGGCCGGTTGGGCTTGGGGCAATGAAGATGGTCCAGGTTGCTGGATTGACTGTTCGTCAATTATGTGGTCGGTAGTAGGGTTAAGGTCAACCTCCATGTCTAGGGCAGGTACTGCGGGAACCGACGAGGGAGCAGCGTTCTCTAATGCTTCCCTTCGCGCTTTCTTCATCATTTTTCTTTTGCTCTTTTTTTTCCTATTCTTTAGGGTTTTTTTGTTTGGAGCTACTTGTGGAGTTGGGGCACCGGCACGGGCCGGAGCGCGGTCTTGTTTTGGGGTCGGTCTTGTTATAGCGAAGCTACGTGGGGTCGGAGTAGGTTTACCCCGCCGCGGAGTGTTGGCTTCAGCCATCAGCGTTGCCGCCGATGGTTTGGCCTCCACTGTGACGGCAGGGGGGATGAATGAGGACGTGGGAGGGGGTTGGGGCTGGGAAGATTTCCCTTTCCCCTTCCCCTTCCCCTTCGAGGTGGGTGCTACAGCGGAAGGAGCTGCATTCCCGGATCGACGCACCGGTGGCACCGGTGGCACCGGAGGAGGGACGGTTACTCCCATCATCCTGGCCTTCTTGCGGTAGACCGGGCACCGCCTATCAACGGCGGCGTGGTCCTTCCCGCAATTGGCGCAGGAGAATGGGCCGTCCCTCGGCCTCGGGCAGTCCGCTACAGTGTGCTCCGCAGCACATCTCACGCAGCGGACCGCACGGTGACAATTGTGGGAGGCGTGCCCGTAGGCCTGGCAGCGGTGACACTGCGCAGGCCCTCGGGTTGGTCGCCATCCCTCAACCGTCACCCCCGGCAAGTACATCAGTTCGTTGACTGAGTACAAGCGGGCGAGTTCATCCTTTGAGAGGTGATCCAGGGCAACGTGGAACACGTTGCCCGGTCGCCCTCTCTTGGACCGAATGCACCTAGCGTATCGAGCCGGGAACCCCAGCTCCTTCAACGCGTTGGTAACGTCTGCCGTGTCGGTGTCGGCAGGGAGGCCCCGGACAGCTACCTTGGAGGGCATCTCCTCCGCCAGGGCATAGCAGTACCATTTAATGGTACTATCCCTGGCAGAGGCCTCCGACAGGTAGGCCTGGACCGCCCTGTATTCCTCAGCCGACGACGGCAGGAACCTAAAACCGGTGCCGAAGGGTCGCGCCGAGGGGGCGCGGCCTAGGCGCTCCCTAATGGCAGCCATGTGGCGGGGCCAATTAGAAAGGGCCTCCACCATTATTGGCGGGTGTCGGCGCAGTTCCTCCTGGGCGCGGCCCTTCGGCCTCGGGGGAGGAACATTTCGATGGACCTGAGTTAGGGGCTTGGGAGTAGTTGGCTTGGAGGCGGCTATAGCCGCATAAGATGTGGACGGAATTGGGTCAGGAAGTTTTCGGACTGAGGAAGGGGGGGTCGGGTAGCCTCGAGGTCCACATACCTAGTTGAATCTAGGTTGCCCGCCGTGCAGCTTGAGGCGGAAGCACCTCGAGTACTATCCGCCATAATAGGAGAGAGTACTGGAGAGGGAGAACGCGGAGGGGTTCTCAACCTAGGAGCATCTACCGTCCTAGGGAGTGCCCTAGGTTTGGGGATGGGTTTCTTGGGTGAGGGAAGGGATTCCTTTGAGGGGGACGCTGAGCGAGAGGAGGAGGGGGAGGACGAAGCAGATGTGGATGCAGAAGAGGAAGGAGTGATGGAGGTAGCTTCGCTATCATCGCCCTCGGATCTAGAAGAGGGGCCTATCCTCGGTCTCTTGTCTTTCTCCTCAGAAGAGCCCCGGTCGGACTCGGACTTGGCCTTCTTTCGCGGCCGAGGGGTCCCCGAGTTATCGGTCGGTAAGGGAAAGCAACTTTCCCCCGAACCGATTCTCGGCGGTCCCTGGGCCCCTGGACAATAAGTCCGGGCCTGGGCGAGTTTGGGTTTGGGCAAATAGGCTAGTTCCTATTGTGCGTCCCTTATGGGAGGGGCCTGGGGTGCTGATTATGGGGGGGCTCCCCCCTGACATGATTTAGACGACAGTCTACTGAAGCAGGTGACAGGCACCAGCGAACGCTGCTGGTAGTGGGGGTCGATGAACCCTATTAACTGGAGAGAGCAAGGGCAATCCCGCTCACCATACCGATAAGCTAACTTGAAATTAAAGTAAAAGTGAAAGTGAAATAATAATTAAGTAAATGTAAATTAATGCAAATTCAATATTATTAAATGTGGTTATTAAATTATGACCAATAGTCACAATTTAACACCTCCATAAGCCTAAGATATATAGTTTACGTTATAAGGATGAAATAATAAAGAAAATCAGGAACCAAATAAAATTACTATAATAGAAATGTAAGGTTAGTATTAATAACAAAAGAAAGTAAAGTTAAAAATTAAAAATTAAAAATAAGAGTTAAAAAGTTAGTACTAAGTGCCCACTTATGATGGACCGAGCGTCCACCTGAGTCCGCCGCCAGATGGTCGCAGTTCAAAACTGAAGACTTGATAGCAATACAATATTGCTAAGTTCTGGCGCGGTCGTAGGCACGTAATGAAAATTAAAAATGTTATAGAAATTTAATTATGAGAGTAATATTTTAAACTATAATTTATTCTATTGCGATTAGTATAAGGTTTAGAAAAATTTAGGGGGATGGTAATTGTAACTAAGTGTGTATTCTAATTGGTTTGTAAAGTTTTAACGAAAAAGTAAAATTAAAAAATAAAAATATAAATCGAATACGGTAAACTTAATTCAACCAACTAGGTCAATAGTCAGAATGATAGAAAATCAATTTATTTCTATGGTAAGCGGAACGACACCCCTCGGGATCTATGGGTCGATTTAATTTAATTCGGAATTAATATACAATAAATTTAGGAATGTTTCAGAAAAGGAATTGAAAAGATTTGATATGCTATAATTGAGGGTAGTTGGAAAAATAATAAATGTAAAATTAAAATTAAAATTAAATTGTTATTATAATTAATGAACTAGGCTACTGAACTACAATATTTACAAGACTACACTAACTGCAATGACTAATTAATCTAATATATAAATAAGGAAATAATAAAATAAGCAAAAACTAAAAAGAAAACACACCGCGACTCTCTAGCGAGCCTGTCGTTCTGACGACTCAGTTAACTAATTCGTCAACTCGGGTTTGGTTTGCAACCCCTCCTAACCCCAAAGGGTAGGGGAGGACTGGGAACAGACACAGATGGCCAGTCTCGATGGCGCTAACGTAACTCTGTTTTATTCTTAGAATAAATTGAGTACGCAGCTATCCAGGCTGATCAACATCTACCCGCAATTAACAAATGTTAAAGAATGAAAGTGTCAATCAACTTACCTGTTCCCGGGTCCCGAATTTCGTTTGTTCGGGGCGTCACCACACCGACACAACACTTCTGGATAAAACACACTCGCGAAAGGATTCGACAAGACCGCACAGCACAAGCAGNGGGTCGCGATTCCGATCCGGTAGTAGATTCATTCGCGAAACAATTGCTCTTGAGTTGTTAGGTCTCCTTCGGAGGCGCTCGGGCAGTTGTTAGCAAATCCCACCCCTCTTGGCTGAGCCTTTGCTCGCCCATCTGTCCTGGTGAAACTGGAAAGGCCTTCGGGCCACCAGTAAACTTTCAATCATAAAAAAAAAAAAAATGATGCGGCTATGTAGATATACATATTTATGCCAGGGTTCAAAACTTCTGTTTCGTTTTCTATGTTTCTTTCTATCAAACATTTATTACTGGTCTATTTATTACTGGTGGTAGGACCTCTTGTGAGTCCGCACGGGTAGGTACCACCACCCTGCCTATTTCTGCCGTGAAGCAGTAATGCGTTTCGGTTTGAAGGGTGGGGCGGCCGTTGTAACTATACTGAGATCTTATATCTCAAGGTGGGTGGCGCATTTACGTCGTAGATGTCTATGGGCTCCAGTAACCACTTAACACCAGGTGGGCTGTGAGCTCGTTCACCCATATAAGCAATAAAAAAAAAACATGCTTAGGAACAACTTACATGATAAAAGAACAATAGCGTAAGGTAAAAAAGAAACTTGTTCGAAATTACGATCGCACTGACAGCTGCTACCATCCTGGGACAATCGTTACAAATATTATAAAATTCAGACACCAATCTCAACTTCCAAAATTATGTATGACCTCTGTGCTTGGAATATCTCAATACAACAAAAAAAATAAAAACTAGTAAGATACCTATAAAAATTTCTTCCTATTCTTATTTTAGAAGCGACGGGAGAAAGAGGTGACGTATGAATAATTTCAAGAATCAATGTGTACAGATAATTACTTTTAGTCAGAGCCGAGCGTGACTTCACTGATGTTATAAGGAAAGCATTTCTTTCTAAAAAGCAAGAACCCATAAAAAGAAGATTTTAAATGAACATAGTACACAAAGGATTCTCTTGTCATTTACCTCTGGCATAATCATCACAATGTAATAAACACAATGACATGTAGAAGCACGCAAACAGTAAGATAAGAAAAAATGTTTGAACTCTGCCCTCTCTTGGTCACTTATTGTATCGTTTTTTCATACATCCAGACTTGACTGTTTTTCTTAGAAGTGAGTAGAGGGATAAAGTTGAAAGTAGTACAAAAAACTTTTTATTTTTTTTATTTTTATTGCATTGATGGGTGGACGAGCTCACGGCCCACCTGGTGTTAAGTGGTTACTGGAGCCCATAGACATCTACAACGTAAATGCGCCACCCACCATTGAGATATGAGTTCTAAGGTCTCAGTATAGTTACAACGGCTGCCCCGCCTTTTAAACCGTAACGCATTACTGCTTCACAGCAGAAATAGGCGAGGTGGTGGTACCTACCCGTGCGGACTCACAAGAGATCCTACCACCAGTAATTTCCTGTAAATTTCTTCTTCAATTGTTTTTTATTCATAATCAGTTATTAAAGTCAATTGCGATATCATAATATGAATCTGCCGTATCTGTAATTCAGGTGTGAAGCCAAGATCTTATTTATACAACTGCGTTAATGTTTATATCGGATGCGTCTGGTAATTTTTTTATTAATTTTGTAGGCAGACTATCATACAGCCCACCTGATGATGAGTGGTTACCGTCACTCATGAACGTCAGCAATGCCAAGAACAGAGCCAAGCCGTTACCTAAAATCTGGCACATTAAGAGCATCTGTCTATCTGCCTATTCATCTCGAACTTTAAGCAACACGTCACAAACTCATATTATCTGTATCGATTTTTTTTCATTAATGAGATCCTCCCACCCTATTTTTAAGATACCAACTTAGGCGTTTATCTCTAGATGTTTTTATACAAAGAATATTTGAGTTTTTGTCCATTGTACATTGTCCATTTGATAAAATTATAACGAGTTAAAATTACGATTTGAATGTAACAAAACAAGGTCGCTGTGAATCGACCGTAACAAATTATTATTTATCTACATTTAATTTGAAAAATCCATTTTAGATTTAAATTTTCGCACAATTTACTTTGATTACTTCTAGCATGAGATAATTTTGGATAATTAGTCCATAAATATAAATAAAAAGACTATTAATTAATTATGTTCAAATGGTATCAATAATTAGTATCCCAGTTACCGATACTGTTTAGAAAAGAAACTGTTCTTATAACTTCTTGCACATACAACATCTCTTTTATATATTGATGACTAGCTGACCCGGCAGACTTCGTAGTGCCTTAATCGATAAATAAAAAACCTAAACTTTTGTATAAAATAAACTTAAAACAAACAAAAGGAATCCGTCCGACGGAGAACACATCAAAGGGAAAACAAAATTGTTATTTTTATTTAATTCCGAGCATTTTCATATTTATCTATCTTTTAAAGCGTCTCTGGACTTCCACAAATAATTCAAGACTAAAATTAGCCAAATCGATCCTACCGTTCTCGAGTTTTAGCGAGACTAACGAACAGCAATTCATTTTCATATATAAAGATAAGTTTGTCAGCTTTCTATGTCTGTCACGATAGATGCGTTATCGCAGGTAAACCAGTATTAAATAGCCAATATTCAATTACTTTGATCTGTTATCCCCTCGTGCGGCCCATGAACTCCAGTTCAACTAATTATCATTAGGTAATTCAATCTAACCATTGACGCGAATAATACATATCATGTTATTATTGCTTCAAACGAGAAATACATCGATTTCCTTTCGATTTTCTATTCCGCCAAAGTCTTTAGTAATTGATTTGATTACAGGAGGACCAATATTGTAAAAAGCTATGAAAGATATCAATATCAAGACGCAGTTAGTTGTCCACTGTAACAGTCATTGTATATATATATAGGAACGATCTAGTCATTTACGGGCTAGTCAGTTGTCGTAGTTGTTGTACGAGACATGTATTATAATACACAGCGACACTATACGTAGTCGCGTTCAGTTAAATCTAAAAAAAATGTGGGGCGTTATCTGTATATTATGTTCGTTTTGTTTAACCGCGATTTTAACAGAAGCAAAATTCGTCGATACCGACTACAAAAAGCAAAGGGAAGAACTCCTGCAAAAAGAATTCGAACGATCACTAGGAGGTAATTTGGTTCTGAGCGAAGATGAGAAAACGGTAAATGATATTCTAATGTACTGGAAGAATAAAGAATTAGATGAATGTTTTCGGAACCCCGATCGATTCAACTTGTCCAAGAGCTATTTCACGTACAGAGATTATATCAATACGTCTAATGTGTATAAGATAATCAGGCGAATGCCCAAAGGAGGCGCTCTTCATATTCACAGTTCGTTAATGTTAGACGCGGATGGTTTAGTAAAACTGACGTACGAAGACCACTTGTACTGTTGTTACGAAGGCGACGATTTAAAACTACAATTCTCCGAAGTCATTCCCGAACGACCTTGTACTGATAAATGGAGCCTGGTGAGTGACCTTAGAAACGCTTCCGATGACGTCATAGCCTTTGATAACGAATTGAGAAAGCACTTCATAATGTATGGCAAGGGCGACTACAATACGAGCGGTGCTAACGATTCGTGGAAGGAATTCAACAGGGTTTTTAGAATCACAAAATCACTTAACAACTACATACCGGCGAGAAAAAAGTACTTTTACGCGGGCCTTAAAAACTTTTATGAGGACAACGTGATGTATATGGAAATTAGAAGTACAGCTTTTGGTATTTTCGAATTCAACAGTACTTACCACAGCGGGATGTATTTACTGAATATGTACCAAGAGATAACCGAAAATTTTAAAAAGGATCATCCCGACTTTTTTGGTATCAAATTTATACTCACTTCGCATAGAGACTTGGACACTGTCTTAGTAAGGCAGAACTTAAATCTAACTAGGCAGATTAAAAAGGAAATGCCAGAAATGTACGCTGGTTTCGACTTAGTCGGTCGAGAAGATTCCGGGAAAACACTGCTAGATCGTCTTCCCGAGCTGGCTGAAATGAAAAATGAGATAAACTACTATTTTCACGCCGGAGAAACCGTTCGGTACGGGACTACGTCGGATGAAAATTTGATTGACGCCATACTTTTGGGCACACGGAGGATCGGCCATGGTTATGCCCTCTTAAAACATCCGAATCTTTTGAGTATCATTCAACAAAAAGATATAGCTATCGAAGTGAATGTGATATCGAATAATGTTCTATCGTTGGTGAACGATGTGAGGAATCATCCATTGGCAACATATTTAGCTCTCGGTCTTCCCGTGGTGTTGTCAAGCGACGATCCTGGCGTCTGGGGGGCTGATCCGTTGTCGCACGACTTCTACGTGACATTTGTCGGTGTCGCCAGTAAGCGCTCGGATTTAAGACTCTTAAAACAGCTGGCCATTAACTCTATAAAGTATAGCGCGTTAGACGACAAGGGCAAAACCAATTTGTTTCGGATATTCAATTCAAGATGGTCTGATTTTATCCAAGAGATTATTCAATTGAATGCACGCGGTGAATTTAATAGTGCGTAGGAAGAAAAGTATGTTTCGATGTTTTAATAGACGCGTTTATTAGAACGTCTTGGAATAAACATCCACACTGTGCTGCGAACAATTAAAGACATGAATTTCTCAATAACAAAAGTTAATGGTTTTATTTATTTATTGTTTTATTTTTAACTGGTGGGTAGGTACCACCACCCTGCCTATTTCTGCCGTGAAGCAGTAATGCGTTTCGGTTTGAAGGGTGGGGCAGCCGTTGTAACTATACTGAGATCTTATATCTCAAGGTGGATGGCGCATTTACGTAGTAGANTGCGAACAATTAAAGACATGAATTTCTCAATAACAAAAGTTAATGGTTTTATTTATTTATTGTTTTATTTTTAACTGGTGGGTAGGTACCACCACCCTGCCTATTTCTGCCGTGAAGCAGTAATGCGTTTCGGTTTGAAGGGTGGGGCAGCCGTTGTAACTATACTGAGATCTTATATCTCAAGGTGGATGGCGCATTTACGTAGTAGATGTCTATGAGCTCCAGTAACCACAACACCAGATGGGCTGTGAGCTCGTCCACCCATCTAAGCAATAAAAAATAAAAATAAAAATATTTCCTTTGTAGGCGGACAAGCAAACGGCTTTCCTGATGGCGAGTGGTTATCGTTACTCATATATGTCAGTAATGCCAGCAGCATAGCCAAGTCGCTACCTACCTCTGAGTACTCTCCGCAAGCCTTATTCGAAGAAGGATAGGTCATAGTGAAGGACTGTTAATAATGAAGGTGGTAAAACTAAGTACTGTTACACAAAATACATATAATATCTAAATATTTTTAACACTCACATGTTTTTCCACTCAAAAGTACACGAACCACAGTAAGATGAGATTCTAGAACGTATTTTCGACTTTAATAGAATTTTTTTAATTAATTCTCAATCAGAAACATTTGTGTATCTATATATTAATACGTGAAGCAAAAATTTTGTATCCCTTTTTACGAAAATTGCGCGGACGAAGGAGTATGAAATTTTCCACACTTATAGGGAATATAGAGAAGAAGTGCACAATGCTAATATTTTTTTTAAATAATGCATAAAAGATACATTAAATCAATAAAGAAAACATTACCCACACTACATACCATGTATTTGACGCACACACGCATGTATGCATACTATTTATTGTCAAACTTTTGTTCTTGACGTCCGTTGTCAAATTGAGAATAGATTAAATATTGTTTGTCTTTGTTAATATTTTTTATAGTGTAATCTTGGCGAAATTTGTAATTATAGAAATATAAAATACAATCATAATAGTGTACAAACTTACAATTCCAATTAGTTATAGTCGAATTTCGACTACTGCGGGACCTCTAGTATTTATAAAACTTTGATGCTTTTAGCCCAATATAATAATTCGCTCCATTGTCATATAATACCAGGTTTATGTGATTAGCTGTTACTAGCTTACCTGAACCAAGAAGTATAAATAAGCTATTAGGTATAAAAGTATAATTTGACGGTTAGTTAGTATTTAAAAAAAAAACTCAACACTAACGTGTTTATTAATTAAGACGAGTTCTATGTTATTTAAAATTCGTAAGAACTATGTATGAAATTAATTATTTTTAAATTCAAACATCTGAAATGTCTTTTAAGATCTGTCTTTTAAGACCGTAGCATAAATTTGGACATTATAATCAAAAATCTATATATTAATACGTGAAGCAAAAACTTTGTATCCCTTTTTATGAAAATTGCGCGGACGAAGGAGTATGACATTTTGACATGACACACTTATAGAGAATATAGAGAAGAAGTGCACAATGCTAATATTTTTTTTTAATAATGCATAAAAGATACATTAAATCAATAAAGAAAACATTACACACACTACCGTGTATTTCACACACACACACGCATGCATACTATTTATTTATTGTCAAACTTTTGTTCTTGATGTCTGTGGTCAAATTGAGAATAGATTAAATGTTGTTTGTCTTTATTAATATTTTTCTATAGTGTAGACTTGGCGTTGCAAATACAATCATAATAGTGTACAAACTTACAATTCCAATTAATTATAGTCGAATTTCGACTACTGCGGGACCTCTAGTACATATTATAAGTTTGAATTATTTTTTTAAGGAGACTTCTACCGGGTCTCTTGTCAAACGACATTTTTTTTCTTCTAAGTGTCTATTCCAGCTAAATTAGGATATTTTTTGTCCACGGGTTTTTCTAATTACACNTACAATCATAATAGTGTACAAACTTACAATTCCAATTAATTATAGTCGAATTTCGACTACTGCGGGACCTCTAGTACATATTATAAGTTTGAATTATTTTTTTAAGGAGACTTCTACCGGGTCTCTTGTCAAACGACATTTTTTTTCTTCTAAGTGTCTATTCCAGCTAAATTAGGATATTTTTTGTCCACGGGTTTTTGTAATTACACAAAATTAGGATAGCTATAAGACAATCTGCTCAACTGTACATGTTTCAAACATTAAAAAATCTCTTTTTTTTTCCTTCCTGATCTTTGGTAGCCTAAGGGGCTATTCCGATTATGGGTAGACGGGTAAGTGAGCTTACGAAGCTCAGCCTGAGAGGCTTTACCCTAGCAAGGGCAGTGCTTAGCTGAATCTCTCACCGGATCGAAATCGCGACAGCTCTCTGAGCAGATCGGTAGGCAGCGGCTTGGCTCTACCCCTGGCATTGCTGAAGTCCATGGACGACGGTAACTACTCACCATTAGGTGGGCCGTATTCGGCGAGAAACCCAGTAGGTTTTGTCTATAGAAAAAAACAATTTATTTATTTATTTTTGAATTACACTTCATGTAAAATTTAAATTGGCGGATTTAATGCCTAAGACATTCTCTACCGGTTAAACAAAGGTAGTGCAGAAGGAAATAATTTACTTACGTATTGCTTTGAATTAGGTACTCACAATACGAATTTCCTTGAGCCAATTTTACGGTACTAGAGGTCCCGCAGTAGTCGAAATTCGACTATAATTAATTGGAATTGTAAATTTGTACACTATTATGATTGTATTTTATACTTCTATAATCACAAATTTCGCCAAGACTACACTATAAAAATATTAACAAAGACAAACAATATTTAATCTAGTCTCAATTTGACAACAGACGTCAAGAACAAAAGTTTGACAATAAATATTATGCATGCGTGTGTGCGTCAAATACATGGTACGTAGTGTGTGTAATGTTTTCTTTATTGATTTAAAGTATCTTTTATGCATTATTTAAAAAAAAATATTAGCATTGTGCACTTCTTCTCTATAGGTATTCTCTATAAGTGTGGAAAATTTCATACTCCTCCGTCCGCGCAATTTTCGTAAAAAGGGATACAAAGTTTTTGCTTCACGTATTAATTTAACGGTATATATCTATTTACTGTATGCATTTATCTTCTTTAATAATGTATTATTAATAGTACACCGCAACACACCTGCTGTATCTTTATCTGTCCAGATTTTCGGGTAATTAAACGGTTGTCTGAAAGAAGAGAAGGCTTTTAGCGATAAGACCGCCTATTGTACAAACGTATCTGCTTGTTGACTGTTTTCTGATGTTAATTGTGTTTTGGTGTGCAATAAAGTATGTTCTCTCTCTCTCTCTCTCTCTCTCTCTCTTGCGTACTTTAGATTTAGACTCGAGGTCTAGCCAACGATGACAATTAGTACATTTCCCAGCTACGCCAATAAAATAAAAATTGCCTAATTTTTTTTTTCATTCAGTATATATCCAACACTGTCATTGAATAAATCTTTAGCTGGTGACACCGGTTGACATCAATTAGTTTAAACACCTAATGAACGAAGAACATGCATCGCTTCGTGTTTGAACACGCCCTAATTAAAGAAACTCAGTGTTCGCACAAACTGTACAACTCTAAGATCAAAGATTCTAAATTTTTTGTATATACCCACTTAAATAGAACATTAATACGTAGGGTTCGTGTACTTGAAATAACAAACAAAAAAAAAAAAACTGTTTTAAATTGTCTTTTAGAATATTGAACTAGTCTTGTTATTTTTTACGAAATACGTAAAATTAATTCAAAATAGGAGGATTCTTGTATTAACATTTCTAATACTAAGATTGTTTCTGTGTTTTACTCCGTGTGTTTCATGAGGAGTGCTCTAGAGAACTTTCCAGAAGACACCGTCATCACCACATTAGACCTCACTTGTAACCGCAACATTTATATACAAAGCGTATCCAGAGATTATTTTTACCACGAACCACTTGGCTCTGGAATAAATTATTTTCCATAGAACTTACTGACGCTATGATATTATGTCCTAAAAATGTGCTTTACAACTATTTGTTACGTATAAACTTAAAACTCGCTTTTCTACATAACATTTAGAAGTTACTTTAACTATGTTTTTTGTGTACCAATATACTTATGAATACAATTCGATATTTTGCGATGAACTCCCCTCCACGGTGTTTTCCGAGCGCTATGACATGTCCTTCTTCAAACGAGGCTTGCGGAGAGTAATTAATGGTAGGCAGCGGCTTGGCCCTGCCCCTGGTGTTGCTGACGTCCATGAGCGACGGTGACCACTTACCATCAGGTGGGCCGTATGCTCGACTGCCTACAAATGCAATAAAAAAAGTGTGTGTGTCCGCTCCGACGCACGACTGGAGTTTACTGGATATAAAAAATTAAACGAAACAATACGAGAAATAGTTCTATATTACGACAACACGATACACTACAGATTATTAACAAATTAACGAGACACAAAACAAACGACTAACAAATATATGAAAATACAATAATGAGAGAAACGCGCGATCAGTACGAGGCTTTGTGGCGGACTGCCGGCGCAGCAGCCCGGCGTCACCTGCGATAACGCGGCCGCGCGTTGGCTCCTGATTGGCGCGCGCACGCATCACGCAATCAGGAGCCAATCAGGCGCATAACGCATTTCGTGTGACATGCTAGTACGATTTTGGTCCCCATAATTTTCATACCCCGGGCCTATATATGTAAATCGATTCTAAAGGAGTAAACTCCAAAAATATTTCGAGATCGAATCGAAAATATTCGAGATTTGATTCTAATTTTTCTAATTTTATGTACATTCCTTAAGGATCCCTA